TATTCTGGTCAGAGTAATAATGTCTTAAACAGGAACCATTTCAGGGAGGCTGTTTCCATTTTGCTGCTGATTAGAGTAATTCAGACAGAACATAAGAACCTCGCTGAAAGAATAGTTAGGCCTTTCATGTTAGTAAGAAGGAAAATGCTATTTGAGAGGCAGTCTGTTGGCCATAGTAAGTGAAAATAGCTTCTCAAGTCCCTACTAGGACCATGCTAGAGTTAATGGTAGAAGCTAAGTCTCCTTGGGGGTTTCTTGGCATTGGCCAGGGTAAGTGGAATGGGAGGGATCCATATTTGCAATGTTAAACTTTTCCCCCTCCTATTCTTGTTTTCTTAGTCCCGATGCCAAGTTCCAGAAAGTATCCAGCAATTGGCTAGCTGTGTGGGTCAAAATGGGCTCCAGCTGGGTGTGCCTCTTCCTTTACCTCTGGACACTTGTGGCTCCACTCATTCTCACAGGTCGGGACTTCAGCTGAGCTTCAGAGTGCCAAGGACATTGCTAAAGCTGACAGCCTCCTTTGCTGAAAACTCGTATCCCTTCCACCTTTCATCAACTAAACAATTAAGTGAACGCTTTGCAAATTTGGCTGTATTCATGTTTATATCAAAAGGCAAGACTGAATAATGCTTGATGCAAAATCTGAGCTTTCATATATCTATCTATATACATATATATACACACACATGTTTTTTGTTTATTTGTAAGGCTATAGCACAAAGGGAGCGGTTTAGTGTTTTAACGTGAACTACAGCTGTGCTGTGAAGAGAGTTATAAAGACCTGTAGATTCCTACAGCTTCTGTTTCAAATGGAAGTTAGAAGATTGTTGGATAGTTGAGGCTATCTTTAATATATTTCTATTGCAGTCTCCTTAAAAACCAAAAAAGGAATGCAATAACCCACAGTTCCCATGGTAAAGGTGTTTGCTGAGTGACATAGGCACACTGTTTCTTGCATAGGCTCTTCAGAGGTGTAGCATCCTGGTTTTTGGCAAGGAATTATGTGTTGGCCCTTCCCCAGAAACTGGTGCTGATAAGGCTGAGAGAAGGCTATTGAGTTCCTTTACTTACTTTTTATACTACTCTAATGTTGCTTGATAGAAGTCTGTGGCTTTGTCAGATATGTCATCCCAGTAAATGCTTTGTAGATTTGATTAAAATGAAAGTTGACTTGGGAAACACTGCAGTGTTATGTAATGACCTTGTTATGAGTGTGTAAAAGTCTGAGGCATGTTAGTTTATTAAATTTGCACTATCAAAGTACTTGATTAAAATAGATATTTAGTTTCTTGTTTGTTTGATTTTTGTTTTTTTTTTTTTTTTTTTTTTTTAAAGAAAGGGTCTTTTCTTTGTATCCCAGACTTGCTAGTGCTGAAATGTAGGTCTGGGCCACCACACCTAAGCTTCTCAAGGCTCTTTCTTCATTCAGTGGGGTTTGGTCAGCATTCTTTCTTTCTTTCTTCCTTTCTTTCTTTTTTTTTTTTTTTTTTTTTTTTTTTTTTTTTTGGAGAAGAGTGTCAATCTGACATTTCAGGCAGATTCTTCACTTCTGACACTTAAGATTTGACTAGTAAATTAAGTCTTATGTTCATTTATAAACTAGCCCTAATATTTTCTGTGGAAAAGACCAAAGTAAGTAAGAGGTGTAGATAAGACACTGTCAAGAAGACATTCCTGAAAAGCAGCTCATAAGAAGGAATAATAAAGCAGGCTTTTCAACAGAAACTGGCCCAGTGTTTGGCTTGCACTATGCCCTGTAGGGGTGAAGACATGACAGACACAAATTTTTCTTTCTTGGGCTAAATCAAATGAAAATGAGATGATCATCATGGGAAATTAGTGCTGAAAATCATGAGAAGAGGTCTCTGGATATAGACTAGTACAGTGGACTTCCTAGAGAGAGTGCCCTTAGGATTTGTAACCAGATGCTGGGGCAATTTATCTGAGATTTGAAATTAGAGAAGTAAAGAGGGTTTGGAGAGAAATTGACAGCTTAGACCATTTCCACATTAGTGTTTTAAGTGGATAAGAGAGATTGATTTCTGGGAGATTCTGGTTTAATCTGTGTAAATAGGTTCTATTTGAGACCCTGGTTGTATCAAAAGGATGGAGATGGTCCCTTCAAATGATGACTCGGTTTGGGAGTCAGACCTTCTGGGTCTGTATCTGAGCTATTCTATTATCTAGCTATTGACTGGCCATCTAATGCTTACTGAGTACATACTGTGCTTGTGACCTTGAGCACACCAGTCTGCACCTCAGTGCAGAGACTGAAGATAGAGTCTCAGAGAGAGAATCTACTTTTGACAGTAAGTGGCCAATGTCACTATGGATAAAAAGAAGACTAGATGGTACTTAAAAGGTCAGATTCTTTGGGCGGTGGTGGCGCACACCTTTAATGCCAGCACTCAGGAGGCAGAGGCAGACAGATGTTTGTGAGTTCGATGCCATCCTGGTCTACAAGAGCTAGTTCCAGGACAGCTTCCAAAGCCACAGAGGAACCCTGACTCGACAAAACAAAACAAAAGGTCAGAGATGTTCAGAATCTGACAGAGGCTGAATTTGAGGTGGTTTTCGAGAGTCAAACTGATGGCCAGCTAAGTAGAGTTAGAGGCTAGGGAACCTGGGTTTGACAGGAATTCCTGGAATTACTCTCCTTTAGATTCACATGGAAATCAAGTTGGCCTTTGATCTTAACTATAAGGCAGATACCCTACTCTTAACAGGGTGGGGAGAAGGGAAAGGAAGGTCCTAAATTTCAAAAAAGTTACTCATTCTTTGCCTTATATGATTCAAAGGGTTTTTACATCATGATAATTTTGAGATTAATTTGAATTAACAAGTTCTCTTAAAAAAAAGAGAGCAGTTTCACCTTTGCTTGGCTGCACTCTGATAATGATTTAAATCTGGCTGTTAACATTAACATGAAACATTCTTTCAAGACACAAGTGAATTATACATCAAGTGCAGAACTGTACACAGGCAGGAAGAATGCCAGCATTTTGAGTAATCCTAAAGTCATACTTCACAACAGGATATTGTTTTTAATCATCCCATTCCAGATGAGTCCACCTGATTTTCTTTTCTTTTCTTTTCTTTTTTTTTTTTTTTTTTTGGAGCCTGTCCTGGAACTAGCTCTGTAGACCAGGTTCTCGTCAAACTCACAGAGATCCACCTGCCTCTGCTTCCCCAGTGCTGGGATTAAAGCATGCGCCAGCAATGCCTGGCAAATCCACCTGATATTTCACCACAACCTCATTTGCAGGTTGAGGCTCTTGACTCAGCAATCAGTGGCACATCCTAGGAGTTTATCAAAGGCAACAGCCAAGCTGTCCCTTCAGCCTAGCTGCAACTGGGAGAAAGCTACTTGGCCCAGCTTGAATTAGTTTGGTTTCTAGTTCAGTGGTCCCCAACCTGTGGGTCATGACCCCTTTTGGGAGGGGTGTTGAACAGTTCTTTCACAGGGGTTGCCTAAGACCATTGGAAACACAGATATTTACATTACAATTCATAACAGCAAAATTGCAAATTATGAAGTAGCAACAAAAATAATTTAATGGTTGGGGGTCACCACAACATGAGGAATGTATTAATGGGCCATAACATCAGAAAGGTTGAGAACTGCTCTAGGTTAGTCTTGTTTGGAGATGGGGTCTTGCTCCAGGCTGAGCTGGCTCTGCAGTTTTGTGCAGTTTCAGGAGCCCTGCCCCCCTCTATTCACTAAACACAGAGGCAGACTATAGGCAGCAGCCAACATGCCCAGCCTCAAATTCTATCTTGATAACTGAAGGCATTGCCAGAAATGGCCTTGGAAGCCAGGGATGGTAGTGCATGTCTATAATCCAACTGCTGTCTGCTCTGGGGCATTACCTGTCCTCTACAAATAAACAGCAGGTAGCAGCTCAGTGTATATGGTATTAGCCCCATCCCAGTATCCCCCATAGCATAGACCTGTGTATACTGCTTCTGGGTGAAAATGTTAATATGACTTCTGTCTCTGAGATAAAAATTTGTATGTATGTGTGGTGGGGGTGGAACTGAGCCGCAGCCTCTACAGAGGAACACATTTTTTGCCAGGTAGTGGTGGTTCACGCCTTTAGTCCCAGCACTTGGGAGACAGAGACAGGGAGATCTCTTGAGTTTGGAGATCAGCCTGATCGACAGAGTAAGTTCCAAGAACAGGCTCCAAAGCCACAGAGAAACCCTGTCTTGACCCCCCCCCCCCCAAAGAAATAGAGTCTCACTTAGCTTATATTTTTTCAAGACAGGGTTTCTCTGTAACAATACCTGTCCTGGAACTGGCCTCGAACTCAGATCCTACTGCCTCTGCCTCCTGAATGCTGGGATTAAAGGCATGTACCACCACCATCCTGCTACTTCTTAGCCTATTGACTAAGATGAAGTGGAGAGATGGAGTCTTGTGATGTTGTTCAAGCTGACCCCAAACTTGAACCTCAACTTGTAGAATAGCGGGGACTTAACAGCCTCGTGTCACTCTATTTCACTTTTCTCTGAAGGATTTCCATTCCATTCTCATAGGGCTTGGTTATGTGAGTGTAAAAATGAATGATATGTGGCACTAAACCCATCATGTCCTCCCAAGGGCAATACACTTCATTCATGGTGTCTGAAGATTTAAATGAAATTATGTACTCTGGGTACTTGGCACTTCTGTCCATGCCACAGGAGCTCTTTTGGAATAATTAGATATCATCGGAAGGATTCAGGGTCAGTCCAGAGAAACATCTCGAGTCTTGGGACCTGAAAATATATTCCTCTACCACTATGTGGAGCCAAGTTCATTTTCCTTTATACACAACTAGTGTGTTGTAAGTGTTCATGATCTTCAGTGGCAGCCAGTGACTGCCACAGTGCCCTTCCCAAGCTCATCTAGAGGGCAGGAGGCTGTACTTGGGCCCATGGTTAGGAACCCTGTGTCTGTCTAGGTTACCAAGACTACATCCAGGTTTGTCTCAAGAACAAAACCATAATTCTCACACTCAGCCTTACAGAGATTTTTATTGTTGGAGATCCAGTCATGCATCTAAAATTACATATTTCACCACTTAGAAAAATGCACTAGAAAAATAAACTTTTGGTCAAAACAAACACTGAAGTAGACGATTCCACCATATGTGCCTATACTCAAAGCCAAACTGAATTTCAGTTTGAAGTAAGGAACGTGACAAGGGCTAAAACAGTGGCCTAGACTGTCTAGGAAAACAGTCCCATTTCCACCCATCAGAAGGTGCTCAAGGTCTTGGCCACTGGGAAGTTTCAAGTATTTTACCTGTGGGTTCCTGTGTACTATGCAAGAAGCTGAGGCACATCTGGGAGACTCCAAGGCAGCCACCACTGAACTGCCTGATGGGAAAATCCTCCAGTGAGATTGAAAACACACAGGTAATTGAAAACTAGTAACCGTGTGGTCGTCTCCAGTGGCAAATTACACTGGGCCTTCCTATGGCGCAAGCTCCCATGGAGAAATACTTGGCGGTGCTTCTTGGTTTGAAGCTAAGGATTTCTGAGTCAGAAGAGAAGAAAGAAATTTGCTTGAGATTTACAAAGTGAGCAGATGGCAATACTGAGAAACCTTAGCAAGGTAGCTGGCTATCCTGAGCAGCCCATTGGTGTTCCAGCCCGACACCAACTAGTTAACGTTTCCCTTCCTAAACATTTCACAGGAAAACCTGAAGTGCATGGATTCAAGATGAGGTATTGTAATAATGCCACAACAGCAGTGTAGCTGTTGCTGTCCAAATGCAAAAGCAAGTTCCATGAATGACTGGAAGGGTGAAATGACATCTTCCCAAACTGCCTGCTGGATAATAAGGCTGTCTCAGATATTCAGAGGGAATGCCTGAATTTCTGAAGAAACTGCCTTATAACTGAGGTGCTTACAAACCAAGGGTGGAATGTGAGTGGTTTAAGCCACTCCTGTGCTCAGAGACAGCCAAGATTTGAAGCCAGCATTTACGGCTGTTTCTGTAGATTTATTTGTATCCCTTCATGAAGGAACAATAGGTTTCAGGGAACTGAATTTAGTGGAATTCTGTAGTGGACTTGGTCAAGAGAAGAAAACTCCCATATTCCTAAACTAGCATATTTCAGCACCAAGTCACTTGACCTATATTCTTAAATAACCTTGTTTTAAAAAAGCAAGTAGAGTGTCCTTGTGGCCAGCCAGTGAGGAACAGGAGCCAGAGTTCAGCATTCAAGCCTCTTTCCAGTGATCAAGGGTATCAAGTGGCACATTCAAGGCCATGTAGGAAGATAAAGCTGGACCTCACTCCTATTTTATGTTCACTTTTTGCTCCCAACACCACATAACCTTGAATTTTAGGAAAAGTTCACTTTGCTGTCTGTGAAATGGGTAGAGCTTTTCCCTAAAGTCAGACACTCCCGAGTCCTTGCTTACCTGCTGCCTCTGCCTGTGCTCCCTCCACTGAGGCTCTGCTGCATCCCTGCTCTTCAGCACAGGAGCTGCTTTATTTTACATCAGGAGGCCCTGGTCACAGCCTGCTTCAAACCGGAGGTGCCAAGATTGACCTTTAGTGTAGGCAAGAAGCAGAACAGCATGGGGGAACAGCAGAACCAGGCTCTCAGAGGCTTGACAGAATGGCTCCCCTTGGCCTAACCAGAAAAGCTTGGCAAACTGGGTGCATTTTGCTCTGAGATTTCGCCTTGAGAGCCTGGCTGTCCCTTCTGTTAAGTAGACAAAGGACTAACCAGCCACGTGACAGGATTTAAACCAGGGAAGTTGGTGGGGCTGAGGAATTCATCTTTCCATGTCTCTTTTTTTTCCTTGAGCTCCCTTCCTCCTTAGTACCTAAATAAGCTTCTAATGGATTCTCTCACCCAGGTTGGTGGATTCAGAGCCATCATGGATCTTTTCAGGTGTGTGGGTGGCCATCTTTTTAGGCAGAAAACCTGGCAGGAGCTAAACCAAATAGCAGAAACTCAGTAGTAAATGGTCTCTATGGGTAGTCAAGAGGGGCATGTTTTGGCACTTAGGTTCAGTCAAGACCTAGAAGATCAAGGATTAGCATCTATGGTGAAAAGGATGTTTTCCAGAATTGGCATTTTATGTTAAGTTTCCATTAAGAACTTCTGCATATGTTTTTAGGAAATTTAGTAACAATTGATTTGCCTTTGCGCCGCAAGACCGTGTCTGTAAGCTGTATGGAATGCCTGCTTAGTCTAGTAAATACACAACCAACACTACTTAATACTATTTAACATCATAATTCATGATGAATACCAAAAGAAACAGTTCAAAAGCCCGGAGATAAATCACTTCACTCAATGCTTGGGTTAAGGTTAAAATCTTGACAGGTGTCTAAAGTGCCTAAATGCAAAACTATCTTTCTGGGCAACTGGTCCTTCCACAATAGGCAAACACTTGGCAGGGCTTCCAGGTGAACCAGCAATAACCTACCCCAGTGTGTTTCCAGAGACAGAAAATAGAAGAAGCCCAAATCTGGCAAATTACTGTGGCTGTTTCTAATATGCTACTAGTGTCGCCTGCCTGGAAGAAATTGTATAAGATTTGGCCAGCCTCACCAAAGCCATCCCTTTCAAGCTTACCCAACATTCCGCAAAGGCAGTTGGTTACCATCAAAGGCCTGACCAAGTGGTGACACTCCTTTACATAAGTCTTATGTATGGACCACCAAAAAACCAAGACCCAACCACCTCTAGGTGGTAATCTTTCCAAGTAGGAAATCTAACAACCAGCAGCACCAAAGGCCCCCATTCCAGGTAGCTTCACTTTGGAGATGACAAAGCTGAGGTCCATGTCCTATCCAGTCACACACCTGACTCCTTAGCCACAGTCAGTCCTAGAATCCAGGATTTTATGTTGACCTGTATGATCCCATGATGAAGAGAGCTAAGGCTTTATGGGTTTGGGGAAAGTTTCTATTGCAAGATTCAACCCTGGAATCCCAGGGTTGCTCTGAAGCACCTGGCTTCCAAATCTGATCTTTAATCCTGCCTGGGTCCCGGAAATTCTACCACTCAATTTACAGTGCTTTCCAGACCCATTGATGACAACAGGGGCCTGAAATTTGCTGATGAACAACTGAGGTCAACACCTAGGATTATTGGGAAAGAGACTCTCAACAATTTCATATGTGGCCACATTTCAAGATTGGCAGATTGCTTCAGAGTTGTGATCAATCCAGTGTCTTCTCTATTCACTTTAGGTGACTGACTCTGATTGCTACCAAGATGCATAAGAAATAGATGCAGACAGCTTATCCAGACTAGCAGTTGCAAACATTTGAGAGTCACTGGGGTGGTTTCCTTGTCTTCCCTGGAATAATCCAGGTAGCCAAAGGTCTGCTTGTAATGGGCTCACCCTTGAATCTCTGTAGGCAGCTCCATCACTGCATAATGATGGAGCAAGACTGAGGCATTGGCATCTTAATCTGTGCATGTCTAAGGAATGAAGGAATTATACATGACTCTCCCAGAAGAGTGCTAATAGCAGGAGTAGAGCTGGGACTTCATGGCTCGCATGGAGTCATCACACTGTGCATCTGAGATCAGCCCTTCAGATAGCAGTGGCTGGCCCAGGAGACTGTCACAGGCAGGCACAGGCTGGCAGAACTCTTTTACAAAGTCATCCTCTGATGCCAATAGCACTGCATTCCAGGTGGCAGTGTCCAGCTCTCCAGCTGTGCCCCCATACTCCTTGGGGAGGATATTTCTTGGAAGGTTTGTGTGGAGAGAATTCAGGTCAGACCCATGGAGAAAGAACTAAAAAAGAACAGTACAAAAAGCATACTCAGCAGCTGTGATCACAGGCACAAGACTGCATCTTCCATCATTCCATCATGGTGTTGGGGGCAGGACCACTCACTCTTTAAGGTTCTATAGGCAGTTAGTGTTTGCTGGGGTGGGAGAGGGGCATTTCCTTCATTGTTATGGCCATTGGTATGTCCACTAGTAAGTGTCCATGTTCCTGTAAGTGGTCCTAGATAAACTCAGATTACCAAAACCGACAAGAAGGCAGAAGGAGGGGAGTGGGAGGAGGACAAGAGGGTAATGGAAAATGAAAATGCTATAATGAAACTGATTATTATATATTAATGTATGCTAATTATGCTGGTTAGTTTTGTTTTTTTGGGGGGGGGTCAACTTTATACAAGCTAGACTCATTTGAGAGAAGAACCTCAATTGAGAAGACGCCCCATCAAATTGGCCTTCAGGATATTTCTTGGATGATTGATGTGGGAGGGTCCAACCCACTGTAAGTAGTTCTGGGGTATAAAATAGCAAACAGGGCAGGGAACAAGCCAGTGAAAAGCATTCTTCCACAGTCTGTTTCCGTTCTTGCCTCTAGGTACCTGCCTCTAGGTTCTTGCCTTGGTTTCCTTCAGTGACTGTGACCAGGGAAATGTAAGCCACATTTTCCTCCCCAATGCTGTGGTCATGGGCTTATCACAGTAATAGAAACCTAAGACACTAATAACCCCCCCCCCGCTTTTTTTTAAAGCACAGACACACACGTGCTGAGGGGAATCAGTAATGTGACAACCTCCCTGTGGCAGGTTGCTTAAATAAACATGTGCTGAGTGAAGGAAGGAAGTTCCTTACCCCCAGGAGCCTGGAATACCTTAATTCTCTACTGTAGACCCCATTGAGAGAACCTTCCAGTTAGTCATGATGCAGGTACTTCCCTACCACCCTGCCAGTCCCATGCCACCATCGTTTCTCAGAGTCTCTCAGTGGCCTCCTGCTTGGCCTCTCAGTTTTGAGCCTTGTCCCACGACAGTCCTCTCCTTTCAGTGTGTCTCAGGTAATGTCACTACATTTACAGTCTTCTCATTCTCTCACCTCACATAAAGCCTGTCAGAGTCTGGCAACTTAATTTCTCAGGCTTTGCTCATCATTCTCTCCCACTCAGCTCCAGCTTCGTACCTGCTCTTCTAGTAGGAGTGCATGCTGGACACCCCTCCCATGCCTCATTATACCACGCTGGCCTCCCAGTTGCTGTATGGCTTACATCCTCACCTCACACGGCTTCTCAATGAGGGACCATTCCCTCGGCAGGGCTAGATCCTGGCATGCATACAGTGGAGAGAGCAAGTCAACTACTGTCATGCATTCACCTGTCTTCTCACTGTGAATGCCACTCAAATCAGCTACTTTAAGCTACTGTTGCCTTGACTTCCCCACTGTCAACCAAAATAAACCCCTTTGTCCCTTAAGTGGCTTTTGTTAGATGTTTTTATCACAGCAACAGAAAGGTAGGCTCCCAACCAACCAGGTTTCAAGGCTAACTGACCAGAATTACCTGAGGTGATTTAAAAACCACCACACCAGGCTCAACTCTTTTCTGTTAACATCTTTGGGGAAAGGGCCTAGGAGTCTGGATCTAGACTTTTAAGTGTTAGCTCTTATAACCTTGAGATTCTCTATTTCTATATGCTTATTTGAAAAGAAATGAAGCTGGACTGGACAGACAATTCCAAATTAAGAGTACTTACTGATCTTCCAGAGGACCTGGCTTTGGTTCACAGCACCCCCATCAAGTGGCTCACAACAGCTTGTAACTCCAGTTCCAGGGGGATCCAATGCTATCCTCTGGCCTCCTCAGACATCACACACTCACACACATACACTCACACACACTCTGTGGGATAATCTGTACACTGTAAATTGTTAATTAAAAGCTGATTGGCCAATAGCTAGGCCGGATTTTCAGGGCAGAGAGGATGCTGCGATGGAGAGGGTGGAGTCAGGAGTCTCAAGCAGGTGCAGAGGGAAGCAAGATGAAACAAGATGAATGTGACTTGTTGAAAGAAGGTACCACCACACGGCAGAGAGTATGGGCTTGAGCTATGGGCTGAGCATTTATAATTAATACTAAGTCTCTGAATGGTTATAGCTGCTGAGACACTAAGAAACTACCTACACACACACACACACACACACACACACACACACACACACACACACACTTTAAGATTAAAAGATCCTTAAAAGAAAAAGTGTGGCCCTGTAAACCCAGCCTTTGGAGTGACCTCAGTGTCTCTGGGTGCAAGGGAGGAAGGTAAGAATGCCATTACCACATTTGCATCAGTAGCCCTGAAAAAGATGAAAGGAGGAGGGGCTTTTGTGGGTCAGAAAGGGTGACCCTCTTTTAAAAGTGTTGTGTAGGGTTGACTGTGTAACTTAGTGGTACAGCACTTACTTAGCATGCATGAAGTTCTGAGTTAGCAATGATTGATCTATCTGCTAGGTGACCCATTCCTTCCCTTTCCTAGATCCTCTTACACATAAAATGCAATGTTGGTCCCCAATGTCTAAGCCAGGACATCAGGAAGTCTGAATAGATTACCAATAAGCCTGGGCTACATGAGGCCCAGTAGTAATGCAACACCCTTGTCCTATTCTCATTATTGGCAAACTGTATTCTTACTAGTTCCATTTTCCCCTCATAAAAAGGATGGATCATGTTAAGCATAAGTGCCTTAAACTTCCAAATTAGTTTCTGAACAAAAATAATGATGTTTAGGTGTCAAAATAAATCAAGTGAGAAAAAAAAAATCAAGGGAGATTTTAAAAAGTAACAAATTCAAAGGAAGTCACTCACCCTGTTTGCTATTTTCTCCTTCAGAAATGGTTTTATGATGGCAAAAATGCCTTTAAATATCCGAGGTTCATTTACTATGTGGACTGCTTTTATCCGAATGGGGAAGCCATCCTGTGGGTCGAAGAAATGGCATGTTAGAGCATGGGCATTTTCTGGGTACCATCCCCTCTTCAGCTGCCCTTCACATCTAAACCACAGGCATTCTGCTCTGACTCCCGGCTGCCTCAAAGACAGCCCTAGTGTCAACAAGCCAGAAGACGGGTTTTGAGGAAGTCTGGGTCAGAAGACTAGGCAAAGGTGGCAGGTGTGGGAGGCAGCTCCTACATAGCAGCAAACAATGGTCCAACATGACAGAGAAAGAGATGGAAAATACCAGACCTTCCAGGTCAGAGCTGCCCAAGTGCACTTCCAGAGTGTACAAGATACAATGTGAAACAGGCCTGCTTGAGAAATACCGTGGCCAGAGGAATACACCGGCCTGCACAGTCATACAGGTTTCCTTATCCTAGCTTGGTGGTTCAGGCCTGTAATCATAGCAATATGGGAAGCTGAGGTAGGAGGACTGTGAGTTCAAGGCCTGTCAGAGTTAAAGAGTATGGTGTTTGAATGAGATGTTCTCATAAGCTTGGGCATCTGAACACTTAGTCACACTTGTGGCTTGGTTTGGGAAACTGAGAAGGCGAGGCCCCCTGGAAGACACTGGCACCCTAGGGATAGGCTTTAAGAGCACACAGCCCCACACTGGTTTTAGTGCTCTCTGCTTTGTGCTTGCTATTGAACTCAGAAATCTGCCTCTGCCTCCTACTTGCTGGGATTTGCAGGTGTGCATCACCACCGCCCAGCTATAAAAACTTTTATAAATGGGGCTGGGGCTGTAGCTCAATGGTCGAGCCCTTGCCTGATATGCAAGGTTCTAGGTTCAATCTCTAGATCCATTTAAATAAGGGGGGTGGTTATGTCTTTAAGTGCAGTTCTGTTCACGGGCTTTAATACTTTGGTTTACAGTGACATTCACAAGAAAGGGGCACATTACATCATAGTTACCAAACTTACTTAACTCTGGAATTTTGGTTCCTTCTGGGTGACCTTACATTAGTAGAAAAATACAGATCCAAACCCGACACTGTGTTTATGTGTTATGTGTCATGCACAGTATATATGTGTTATTCAGCAGGAGCTATCAAAACACAGAGGCAGGAGCTGGAAAAATGGCTCAGCCGTGGAGGGCACTGCTGCTCTTCCAGAGGACCTGGGTTCAATTCTCAGCACCCACATGTCAATTTACAATGGTCTATAACCCTAGTCCTAGGGAATCTGATCTGATGCTTTCTGGCCTCCTCGAACACCAAACACACATGTGCACAGAAAATACACACACACACACACACACACACCACACACCACACACCACACACACAGAATACCCATACACATAAAATAATTAAAAACAAAATAAAACATTAAGCCAGGGGTGTATGTTGTGTTTGCTTAGTGTACATGAGGTCCTGAGTTCTATTCCTAGCACAAGAAAATAAAAAAAGCAGACGCTAAGGAAAAATCAGCCGTGATGGAGCTGTGCATGGTGACTCTTTGGCTACATGTCAAGTTTGAGGCCTACCTGAGCACAAGAGTCTGTCTCAAAAACATAAAACAAAATAAAATGATGACCAACAGAGAAGTGATCTGTTTAAGTCAATTCACAGCAAGGGCTTGGACGTCTGTGGACCTTGGTGAAGGACAGTTGCTCCACTGGTCCCTCACAGCTCAAAGGAGGCAGCACCCAAGGGGCATGTCAATATCAAGAGCTCAACCTTTAGCTTTGACATGTGGAGTAGGCCATGTTTTCTCTAGGTCTATGCTACCCCATCTACCAAAAAAGGAAAATCAATTCTTGCCTGCTTCAGAGTGTTCCCTGAACTGTAATGGCAGGGCTTTGTGAACCATTAAGAACAGATAAGAGGAACCTCCCACAGGTACCTTCGGAGTCATGGCAAAGAGGACTGAAGAGTAGTGGGAAGTGGGGTTTGTATAGTCCCCATATGACAGCAGCAAGTAGACAGGTCATGGGTAAAGAAAGTAACCACAGAATGGCTACACTGTAAACAGGGGCCATACCTGAAGGATGCCAATCACCTTTTTGGCTATAAAAGGGCCGAAATGAGATGCTTTTGATAAGCTCACGCCTTTGTAGTCTGCAAGAATTACAATTCCGTTCACTTGTGTTTCTTCAGATTGAATGAGTTTTTCTAATGTCAAGTATATGGCCCGGATGTTTTCAGTGATTGGGTAGTTGCTCGGTATCCATCTGTCTGAGGTCATAAGGATAGACAGCATTACAGAATTAATACAAACAAGTGCTCAGAATAAGATGCATCTTCTAAAACCTGGGCTTTGCAATGGAAAGAAAAGACATTTCTTGTCACCAAGATCCTGCCCAGCAGCTGTTTTCTAGACTCCCAAACCCAGCAGAACATCTGCAGATGAAAACACAACTGAGATTAAAAGTGTGAGCTCCAAAGCCAGACATGCTACCTTCTGACTTTAATAGCTGTGTGACCTTGGGCAAGATGCTTCAGCACTCTTAACACCCCCCCCTTGGTTTTTCAAGACAGGGTCTCTCTGTGTAGTCTTGACTGTCCTTGAACTCACTCTGTAGGCCAAGCTGGCCTCCCAACTCACAAAGATCTACCTGTTTCTGCCTCCCGAGTGCTGGGATTAAAGGTGTGTGCCACCACTTTCCAGCTGAGCCTGTCTCTTAGGTAAACAGGGTAAACATCTACCTTCTTGGCCACCTCTGCTTCCTGCCATCAAGAGTCATCACAAAACCACCTTATTTCCCATTCTGGCCACACAGGTTGCACAGAACTGACTGGCCAATCTGGTAGACATCCTAGTCACAGAACGATGTGATCTAAGCCAGGTATCACAGAGCCAGCCTTTACCTAGGGTGTGGTTCTTAGAAAAGGGAAGATCACTCTTCCCTTACATAGCAGTAAAGCTGTGAGCCTGAGGTCCAGGGGCTCATGAGATCATAGCTGGTCTGAGAATTGATAAGGTGGGCAGAGATGGCATCACCTCTCTAGTTGTCCTGAACCCCCAAAATATAATTGAACCTAGATGTCACCTGAGCAAATGAGTTCTTGTTGCAGTTGGCTTTTGGTCATTTGTTATCTAAACAGTGAGTCCTAACTCACATGTAACTCCAGAGTGTTGCAGGATGGAGCACAGCTATGCTTCATAAGGCCTTTCCTCAAATTCCTCCTTGCAGGATGGATGCTTCATTAATTTTGCATATTTAATGAGTCCTCTTTTTGAGAAAAGGATAATGACAATGATCAATGATATTTTTGATTATTTTGCATATTTAATGAGTCTTCTGTTTGGGAAAAGGATAAAAATGACAATGATATTGTGGATTGTTAATCTCTATTTTTCTCTTCTTTTTTTTTTTTTACTTTTTCCTGAGACAGGGTTTCTCCATATTGCTTTGGAGCCTGTCCTGGAACTAGCACTGTAGACCAGGCTGGCCTTGAACTCACAGAGATCTGCCTGCCTCTGCCTCCCGAGTATTGGTGTGTTGGGATATTTTTTCTTTTCTTCTTCTTTTTTTTTTTTTTTTTTTTTTTTTGTTGTTGTTTTTATTTTTATTTGGCAGGGATGAGGGGATTGAGACAGAGTCACTCTGTATTATAGACTGACCCTGAATTTTCAGGGATCATCTTGTCTAGGCAAAGGCTGCCATGCCTAGCTGGAAACCAAGACCTTATGTCCCATTAAACAAAAACATAAAGACAAAGCTCACTGGAGTCTGGGTTCATATCTGTAACCTCAGCACTTGGGAGGTGTTAGTAGTAAGAACTGGAGTTCAAGGCCACCTTCAGCTGTACAGAAAGTCCAAGGCCAGCCTGGGCAACAGATCAAGTCTCAAAAACAAAATCCCCTCTCCAGATGCTGAGAAGTAGAGTCATGGTCTTCAGTGGTAAGATCCTCTTGCTCAGGTACATAACTCCCAACCTGTGCACATAGAAGCAACCCTAATTAAATGCAGTGGGTCACTACCCACCCACGCATTCCCTGCAATGGGCAACACGAGACATGAACATTGGAGGACTTCTTGGGGCTTGGGGACTCAGAGGGAAGGGTAATGAAGAATAATGGGGGACCATGGTCAAAGTGATTGTGTGTGTGTGTGTGTGTGTGTGTGTGTGTGTGTGAAATCAGGAAAGAATACATTAAACAAAATTTCATTTTGCTAAAAATAGGATATGTAATGTGCACAGAATTACTTTTCATTATGTACATATGCTACATGTACCCCTTTATGTATAAGGGGACATGTGTGCCAGAGCATGTATGGAGGTCAGAAGACAAACCTAGGTTGTAACCTTCCTCCTCCTTTACTTGGATTCCAGGGATCAGAACACAGGCTTGTGGGGCAAGTGCTTTTACCTGCTGAGCCATCTCCTTGGCTCTATACAAATTCTCATAACAAATCTTTGCCAAACTTGGTGATTAATGTTCATGTGAATTAAGCCTGCCTCTATATAACTGGACATCATCTTTTCAATTGCATACATCTTAGAAGAGCTTAGAACAATGCAAAGTAAAACCCAGTTAGGAACACAACTTTGTAGGTATGCATCCTCCTAAGAAGCTGGGTCAGCAGGTAGGGGCCGGATCTCACCCAAACACAAGGAGGAAATTCATCTCACAAGCATAACCACATGCCAGGAGGAGGCAGAGCCAGCATGGTGACATCTGACCATCTGATAACACTCTGAGTTGAGCTCATGGTAGCAAGACAAAGCTTGCTGGCTGGTTTCTAGGTCTCTCAGTGCTCAGAAATCTGCACTGTGTATTTTAAAATAAACACCTAATTTTGGAAAGTGCCTAGCACAGCAGGTGAAATGGCCCCAGCTATGTCTGACACGTGGCTCAGGGTGAAGAGAATGGTCTAGACTGCAAAGGCAGTTTGGTAAAAGGCTAGAAGTGGTGTGAGGCATTCAGGCGGAGGGAGACATATGGAGATGGCTGTACTGCCTGACCCCCCCTCTTCAGGTGACTCTATAGGCACAGGGCTGCCAGCATGTGCTCACTTTCTGGTCTGCTTAGGAGGAGTGCTGTAATCTTTCATTCTCCCCTGGGCTCTGCAATGAAGGGAGCTGCAGGGGCTGCAGTGGACTGAAGGTCCTTCCTCAATGACACCTGATGCCCAAGAGAATAAAACCAGCAATCAGAAGGCTTTCCCCCATTGTAGCTGTTCCCAGGGCCACAATTTTAAATGCTCTCTGTGGGGATCTCCCCTTGCTGCAAATACCTGGGCCAAAGATCCAAGCAGAGCCGAGATAGAAAAACAGGGCTGTGTTTTTCACTGTCTTTCCTGATACCTGAGTTGCCACCTCCTCTCTACTATGAATAGTAAAGTTAATACACTAGAAAGTAGGATAAATAGATGTGATGTTTATTTATCTTTGAGTCTATCACAGTTCTTTGTGTAATGTTAAAAAGATACTTTAAAAAAAATGGACACATGCCTTTAGTCCCAACACTCAGGTGAGTTTGAGGTCAGTCTGCTCTAAATAGCAAGTTCTAGGACAGCCAGGGCTACATAGAGACTTTTTATCTCTATGGATAAAATGGAAAAAGATGCATTTTTAAAAAAAGCTAGACTGAGTATCACTATGAAGTGTGGGAATCAACAATGAATCAAGAGGCTCTGATCACAGCTCAGTGGTACAGCTCCTGCACAGCAGGTGCACACCGGGGTTCCAGTCCAGCACTGCAAAAACATTTTCAGTAAATAAAAATAAATAAGACTTTGTCAGAGTTTAACCCAACAGAGGAAGGAGGGGTAAGGAGGCACAGAGTGGGCACCTTTCCAGGCTTCTGCCCAGCCCACACTGTCTCACTTTTATCTGTCCTCAGCCCACTCAGAGGAGGCGCTGGGAGGGGCTTGGCAATCATGTCTGTACCCACGAGCAAGAACAGATTCCTCAGCCCACTGTATTCTCTCCTTTGGAAATCTGAGTCTGCACTGACAGAAGTTCAGAGTGGCCAGGTGGAAAAAGTATGAAGACGCTGTCTGTGCCCAGCACAGACAGCCCTGGGGGTCTAGGACCTGCTAGGAGTGGCAGCAACTTCAGTGTGGTGCATCTGCTTCTGCCTCATTAGGTCAAATATTCCCATGGTCCTCAGTCTGAGGATGGCTTTGTCATCTGTAGTCAAAGGAGCTTTGAGGCCACTCATAGTGGTACACACTTAAAATCTTAGCACTTGGGAGGTAGAGGCAAGAAGGTCAGGAGTTCAAGATTGTCCTTGGCTGCACAGTGAGTCTGAGATCAGCCCGGACTGTTTTAAAAAGCCAAAACCAACCCCAAAAAGAACTTTCACTAAAACAAGAAAGTGGGGGAACTATGAGAGGAAGCAGGGTACAGGACAGACCCATCTCAGAGAGGCCACACATCCCCCCAGTACCTGGCCGGATGCAGAGGACATGGCAGCCCCTGGGGTCCGTGTGGGGCAGCACTGTGAGGAACCCCGAGTTAAGAACGTCTTTCAGGGCTGAGGGCCTCAGGTTGCTGAAGACCTCTGGCCAGCTCCGCCGGCAGCCATGGTAGTTGACCAGCAGCTGCAGGGCCCGATCATAATCAAACTTTCGGGCCCGCAGGAAGCGCAGCAGGAAGGCGTCATCAAGCGAGGTACTCAGGTATGGGTACTCTTTCCGCACCATGTCTCGAAGGGCCTGCACATCTCGGAGTCTCCACTCGGGCTTCTCCTGAAGCTCTTCTCTGGCTTTGGTGACCAGGTCCTCTGTCAGCGAGCACACATATCCAGGAGGCTCAGGCGGAGGCAGTGGCAGCTCATTTTCGGAGAGCGAGGCCACGGAGGGGCTGGTTCTCTGAGAATCACTTTCCTCTGACATTAGCTATCGGAGTCCCTGCTGACACACAGGCCACAAGTGAGGGCGACAAGGTGTAACATGGGCCTTTGTGATGGCTCAACAGGTGACTTGCCACACAAGCATAATGACCAGAGTCTGATCCTAAGAACCACAGAAAGGTAAAAGGAGACAATCGACCCCACACTCACAAATGTACATACATATATGCTCGCTCGCATGTATTTTTTTAAATTATGTTTACTATTAGTATTGTACTTTTTTTACCTTTATTTTTGAGTCAGAATCTTTTAAATTTATTATTTTATGTTCATTAGTGTTTTGTCTGCACTCTGTGAGGGTGTCAGACGCCCTGGGACTGGAGTTACAGACTTGTGTTGCCATATGTGTGCTGGGAATTGAACCCAGGTCCTCAGGAGAGCAACCAGTGCTCTTAACCACTAATCCATCTCTCCAGCCCTGTGCATGTAATTTTTGTTTGTTTGGTTTTTTTTTTTTTTTTTTGTTTTTTTGTTTTTTTGTTTTTTGTTTTTTTTTTTTGAGATAGGGTTTCTCTGTGTAGCTTTGGAGCTTTGGAGTGTCCCGGCACTCATTCTGTAGCCCACACTAGCCTCGAACTCACAAAGATTCACCTGCCTCTGCTTCCTAAGTGCTGGGATTAAAGGCATTCTCCACCAAGGCCTGGCTGTGCACATAATTTTTAAGGTGAAACACTGCTTACATTGGACCCGACAAGTGGGAAATGGGGGACTGGGAGTTTGGGGCAAGTTACCTCAGGGAGGTGGATCCCATGGAGGAATGGCCTTGGCCTGAGTCACATACTTAAGTCAAATCCAACAGCCAAACACCATGCCTTCTGTGGAAGGGTCTAAATAGAGGCTTGGCTGTCATTGTATAGACATGAACACAAAACAACCTTGAGATTCAGACCCAGTTCAGAACTAACACACACGTTCTCTAAAATACTGATGAGAATATACATTGAATCTTTCCAGAGAACTGTTTGTCAACACTGAAATTCAAAAGTAGGCTGTAGAGAAGGTTCAGCCTGTAAAGTGCTGGATTCCCCAGTCTCCACATACAAGCCAGGGATGGGTGCATGTGAGTCTGCCCCCACCAGGGCTACGGGCAGGTGGGAGGAGGGAAGAGACAATAGCATCCCCAGAGCTCATTGGCCAGGCAGTCATCAGTGAGCTCCAGGTTCCATTAGACCAGCGGCTCTCAATCTGTAAGGTCATATCGGATATCCCACATACTAGATATTTACATTGAAGTTCATAACAGTAGCAAAGTTATAAAGTAGCAATGAAAATAATTATGGCTGGGGGTTCATCACAACATGAGGAATTGTATTAAAAGGTTGCAGCATTAGGAAGATTGAAGACCACTGAGTTAGACTGTCTCAAAAAAATAAGGCAGAGGGCCAGCAAGATGGCTCAGCGAGTAAAGGCACTTGACACCAAGCCTAGCAATCTGAGTTTGGTTTCTGGAATCCACATAGTAAGAGATAATTGATTCCCACAGGTTATTCTCTGATCTCCAGATCCACACTGGGGCATGAGCACCCCCCCCACCAATAAAATAAATAAGGTGGAGATTGATCAACGAAGACACCCAACACTGCCATCTCACTCACACACACACACACACACACACACACACAGAGAGAGAGAGAGAGAGAGAGAGAGAGAGAGAGAGAGAGAGAGAGAGAGACCGAGCTTTATGAACTGACATTTGAAGGTAGGAAAAACACCAGAAGAGAGTACAGAAAATAATTACATTTGTGTAGAAGGAGATAAAAAGAAAAAAACGTATAGTTACTAGTTACCTCTAAGAAACAGATCTGAACTGGACATCTAAGAGGCATTTAAGGTGGGTGTTTGTTTTGAGACAGTCTCACTATGTAGCCTGGGACTTGCACTCCTCCTGCCTCAGCCTCTAGGATTACAGGTATGTGCCACCATGTCCATAGGATTACAGGTATGTGCCACCATGTCCATAGGATTACAGGTATGTGCCACCATGTCCATAGGATTACAGGTATGTGCCACCATGTCCAGCCTGTCTGAGATTTTACAATGAAACTTATTACCGTGATCACTGAAATGTGTCACAACTGCTGCTAAGGAAATGTAACTGAAGGGCTCCAGCTGTAGTCCCTTCAGAGGCACTATACTAATAAGGCCACACTTTATACACAGCCCCCCTCCCCATTCCCAGCCAGTGACTGACACATTCACAGGTGATGTTGATCTAGCTGGATTCTTCCTGCATAAATATCCTTCCTAGAGGCCAGACCTGCATCACTGACCGGAAGGTTCTTTGTCATCTCCCTTCCCTTATCCGTGTGGGCACTCCAATAAACACATACTGCCTGTCCATTTGTTGACCCTAGAGCGTGAATCTGGAAAACCTGCACTAACACACTATGGAATGCAAAACAGACGACAGCTGCCTGCGCTGTCCTGAGAATGAGCTGGCAGCAGGACTCACTTCCTGGCTGCAGAGCCTGAGCCTTTGTCCATGAGCAGGCAGCAATCCTCCCTCTATGCTCAAGAGGGAGAGCAGGGGCCATCTCAGAGTTCTTGAACAAACCTGTAATGTCCTGGCTGCACCTGGCTCAACTGAACTCCCTTTGGTCCACAGCAGCTAGTGACCACGAAGGCCACTCCCTCCAAATCCTAGGATTTCCCACTCCATCTTTTGAATTCCAACCTCTAGTCACACCAGCTTCTTTTGCTTGCTCCCAAAGATGTCCTCATTCCATGCATGTTCTGGTCCCTCTCAATAGTATGTTCTTACTCCAGCTCCCCCCAACTCACACAAATTCACCCTAAGATCTGACTGCATGGCACACATGCATCCAACAAATATGTACCAACTTATGATGTACCAGGTTTCCCCCCAGGCACTGTGCATGCAAAAGCAAAGAAGGAAAAAAAAAAAAAAAAAACCGTCTTGTTGAGCCCAGTGGAGATGAGAGACAATTTATAACATAATATACAGTCTACTATTGTGAAGAAGAAACGGAGGGAGTGGGACCAGGATTGCAGTTTTAAACAGGGCAGTCAGGGAAGGCTTGCCTAGGTAACATTTGAGCAAAGATCAGATACCCTTACTAAACCCAACATAGGGTTTAGTAAGGGTATCTGAAAAATGCCTGGCTTTTCTGAAAAGCAAGATGCCCAGTGTAGCTAGAGCTAAGGAAGCAAGATGGGGAAAGTAGATGGGTCCAGAGGCTTTCTGCTTTCTGGGGTCTACTGGCCAGGGCACTGTATGCCAGTAAGAACTTCAAACTTCTGTGATGAGTGAAGAGGGGCAGAGAGGCTTTGGCATGACTTCTGTTTAAAAGGACCTCTCTGTTGTCTCAAAAACGCACTAGGGCCTGTGAGGTGACTAGCTTGCTGCTCCAGCCTGGCTACCTGGGTTCAGTCCCTGGAATTAAACTTTACAAACCCCATGTGAAAGGAGAAAAGGGATTCAAGGCTATCCCCTGACCTCCACGTGTGTGTGCATCCATGCCATGTGTGTCCATACACCACAGAAAGTAATAATGAAAAGTAACTTTAATTTAAATAGTGGGCCCTAATGAAGTGATGATATAGAAGGTTCAATGACAATCCAGGTGTAAAGGGACAGTGACATGAAGAATTCAGCCTTCACTCACTGCGGGCTGTCTGAGCTGCTTGAACATCAGCTCTGTGGACTAGGATATCCCCAATTCTTGCCATATGTGTACATAACTAGTGTATGACATCACGTAGTCGATGTGTAATACCTTGTAGCACCAAACAAGGTATTAAGACATACAGGCTCCATGCCATAAACACTTTATTTCAATGTACTTCATAGAGGTGTACCGAGCAAGGAATAGGGCAATCCTGGCCTCACTGGATCCACCCTGGGCTGTTTTCATAGGAGTCACCAACAGGTAGGTGCCAGGAATCCCAACCCACTGCTGCCCACCTGAGATTGACTGTTGTGTCACAGGCTACAGAACAAGCCTTAAAGGCCCTCTCCTTTCCTCCGCCACCCCTCCCCTGCCAGGGAAGACAAGCTAATGACCCACCATTCTTGGAATACACTATGCATGAACTTTCTTCTCCATGTCTGCTGCCAACCACACAACTCAGCATCTTCAAGGCCCAGCTTGAAGTGTCACCTACTCCATAAAGCCTCCTCCCTGATGTCCTCAGGATGAGTCCCTCCAGGTTTCCACAGCTCTGGGTTCCTATGGCTCTTTAGAAACTTTGGTTCAGTGTCACAGGTGTCTGCACGAAACCCTTCAGAGTCAGTTCCCACCCGCTCATTTACCAAAGAATCACCGACTGCCTCCTGTATGTCAGGCATTGTGCTGACAGAGGCTAAGGACACAACAGAAAACAATAAAACCTTGCCTTGCTCAGCTGACATCACATTGGACAGGACTGAGGGGAAGAGGCCACACGTGCTTGAGGGTTTTGCTTTGAATCAAGCTCTACACCGACCATCCGTTTTCTAGTTTCTTCCTGTGTCTTGCTGGGGATAGAACCTAGGGCCTTGCACATGCATTACTCTACCACCGGACTCCACTGTCAACTCCATAGTTCAACTTCATCATATTGAGCCAGCACATTTTCATCACTGTTTGCACATTACAAAGGAAGAAACTGACCCCCTACAGTGTGGATCCCAACACAGCAGAGACCTTGCCTGACAGGTCACCACAGGCTCATGACAGCACTCAGTAAACATGGGGGCGGGGGAAGTATGGCATACCCTGCCCAGTGAGGCAGAGAATAGTGACAAGCCCCACCTGGCCTCATCATCTCTATACTCCACCTGCAGCTTCCTGCTGTATCCCCAGGGGCTCAGCAGTGGCTGTCATTCGGGGAAACAACATGACGGGTGGCCCTGGGGACAGGATACAAAGCCTAGCATCCTCCCCACCTGGAGCCGTCTCCCTGTGAAGCATTCCCGTTCTCTCAAAGCAACCGGAGGCCGGAAACCATCTCCCTTTGGAGCCCCAGAGACCTCCGAGCCTCTGACAGCGCTCCAAGGCCCCTACTTCCGGTCGTCGCCCCCTCCCCAGGAGTCCCCATTTCCTGGGGTCTCCCGCCCCCCGGCTCACTTCCGGCAGTCTCTCCCTCCGTCTGTCCCCTAGGTGCACGCACGGGCTCGCGGGCACTCACCAGCCCGGCGGCAGGCGGAGCGCGGGTCACGGCGGCAGGAGCCTCGGCTGGCAGCGCGCGCAGTACCGACCCGCACTCCCCGGCCGGCCCGCCCGGCACTCGCGCCGGAAGTGACGTCCGGGCGCGCGAAGGCGGCGCCCACGCGGGAGCGCGCCTGAGTGAGCTGTGCGGCGTTGGCTTGGGTCTGTCCCCACCTGGTGGCCCCGGCTGTGTAGCCGGGTGTGTTGATGGGGAAGCTGAGGCCCGGAGGAGAAAAGCAGCTGCTCCCCTAGAGCAAACCGCCTAGTGTGCCTAGTGTTCTGCACCATTTTCCTTAAATCGTCATGTTTTTGCAAATTCCCTACTTGATGACAGGGAAGAGACGGTGCTGTAACCGGCTTCAGACCCAGACCTCAGGACTGGCATTCCAGAACTGCTTAGTCCTCAGCTGACATCTGGACTGGCTGCCAGATGAGCCATTTTGGCTGAACGTCCTAGCCTCCTGGCCTCGGTTCTTCTTGAATAATACGATTCTTGCCCTGAACCCGGACTCAGTAACTGTTCCCTGCTTTTGGGCTCACGTGTTTGTCTCCAGCCAGCGATAGGTTGAAAAAGGGTTTACTAGCTCCACGCCTGGCCCATTAACTACCATCACTACATGCATATCCGTGTTTTGTGCCACTGTAATTTGGGGAGCAAATCTCTGAGGTTCCTCTTTCGGGTACAATAAGGACAATAAACCATTTCTAGAAAAATTCTGGTGGTCCAAGAGGATGTCAGATCCAAAGGAATGACCTTTCCCTACCTAATGGATAAGAGGAGTCTTAGGGCTGTGGGAAGGGTCCAGAAGGGGTATCAGGACACAGACAGGGGCGTTGTCAGATGCCAAACTGCATGTGTGGGGGAAGTGTTAAGTGGCCTAGGAATGCTGAGCTGCGTTTATCTGCTTGTTTGTTTGTGTGCTGTTTTTAATATAGGGTGTCATCATGTAGACCAGGCTGGCCCCCAACTCATGATCCTTGTGCCAGGCATGTAAATGAGTACCAATCACCCCAGGTTTCGAGTCATGAGACTTGTGATCCTAGGTTCTCTCCAATCCCCAACTTCTAGGTTGCCAAATAAAATATAGAGCACTCAGTTAAATTTGAATTTAGATAAACAGAAGTCTATTTTTAAGACAGGGCCTTATGTAACATTTGGGACACAGTCGTGCTTTAGAAACTGTTGTTTCTCAGAAAGAAACTCAAATGTAATAGGTGTGCTGTTGCTCCTCTTACCCCAAATCTAACTATTAGTTTCATGTTCCTCCTATAGCAAAGCACTACATAGTGTCTTGAAACAACACGACGGTATGTTCTTGCCTCACTAAAGATACCAGGTAGTGGACAATGCCACATCCTCTCGGGCACCTCTTGTCTTTTTCAGCTTGCGGAGGCTTGTGGTACTACTCAGCCCATGGCCTTCCCCATATCACTGCACATTCTAGCTTGTGTTCTCACAGCTATGACTCCTGGCTCTTTCGTGAGTGAGTGTGTGTGTGTGTGTGTGTGTGTGTAAAAGAGAGAAGGGGGGTTCGAACTCAGAGCATTTTCATGCTAGCGGAGTGCTCTACTACTGAACTACATCATCAGTATTTTAAAAATTGGCAGTTCGTTTGTGGTAGTGTCTCATAGCCCAGCCTGCCCTGGAACTTGCTGAAGTTTAGGCTGACCTCAAGCTCACAGTTTTCCTGTGTCAGCTTTGCAAGTGCTAGGATTATAAGTGTGTGTGCTCATATCTCTTATATCAGTCATATTCACACATTTGAGAAATCTGGGCATTGTGGTGCTTGTGCATTTAGTCTCAGCAGAAGCAGGAGGATTTCTGTGAGTTCAAGGCAGCCTGGTCTACATAATGGATAGCTAATTACATTGGGCTTAATTGTTATCCCAGAATAATCTCCCTATCTCAAGAATCTTAATAATGGTCTGGAGAGATGGCTCAGATCATTTGGCTACTGTTCCAGAGATCCTAAGTTCAATTCCCACAGCAACCTCAATGGTGGCTCACAACCACTTGCCATGAAATCTGGTGCCCTCTTCTGGTCAGGCAGAACACCATGTACAGGGTTTCTCTGTGTAACAGCCCTAGCTGTCCTGAAACTAGCTCCATAGACCAGGCTGTCCTGGAACTCACAGAGGTTCACAAGCCTCAGCCTCCCCAGTGCTGGGATTAAAGGCGTGTGCCATCATTGTCTGGCATAAATAAATCTTAAAAAGAAGAACCTTAATCACATCTAAAACATCTCTTCTACCACATAAAATACAAATTCCAGAGGCTACAATGAGGACATCTCAGAGGGCAGGACAGGATTCAGCCACCCAAATCTGCTATTTTTTAAAAAGATTTATTTATTATGTATGGTGTTCTGCCTCCACATCAGAAGAGGGCACCAGATCTCATTATAAAGAGATGAGCCACCAGGTGGTTTCTGGAAATTGAACTCAGGACCTCTGGAAGAGCAGCCGGTGTTCTTAACCTCTGAGTCATCTCTCCAGCCCCAAATCTGGTCATTTTATATGACCTTGGCCAAGTCATTCAAACTCTCAGAGCATCTAGACACTTGCAATGGTATTAATTGTCAACTCAAAAGCCTCTATCTGTACAGCATTACCTTAATCATGTTCATTGAAATGGGAAGACTGCTTGGGACCATTCCCTGGCTTAAGAAAGGAAGAGTTCCACAGGCAGTAGTGGCACACACCTTTAATCCCAGCACATGGGAGGCAGAGGCAGGCAGATCTGTGAGTTCAAGGCCAGCCTGGTCTACAGAGCAAGTTCCAGGTCAGGCGCCAAAGATGCACAGAGAAACCTGTCTCCAAAAACCAAAGGGGGTCCAGGGGAGGAAAAAAAGAAAGGAAGAGTTGGTTCTATCAGAACAGCAGAGAAGTAACAGTTCTCCTGAGCAAAAAAAAAAAAAAAAAAAAAAAAAAAAAAAAAGGCAATTAAATGGCTCATAAGACAAAAATAATAAACTTTGCTCAAGCTGAACAGATAGATGGTTGTTTTCTAGCAAAGCTTTTAACCCTGCTGTCCTAGGTGTTGAAATTAAACATCTCTTTAACCCAGATCCAGGCCTTCTGCAGGGAGCACAGACTGTAGTTATAGATGTTGACAGCAGGGGGAGATAAGCTTGGTGTGCTTTCCTTAAGCCCAGTGAAGGGTTAGAGATGAAGGGTCTCATAAACAAAACAATTAAGAGATTGAGCAGAAACGGGAGCTTCTGCATCTTTTTCTGTCTTGGACACTCAGAAGCAACAGACCTGGAATAGCACATTGAAAAGACCCATTTCATTTCCATGTGTGTAAGACAGGGCTGTGAGCCTTGGGGACCTCCAAGGAATGGGGTGTGCAGAAATCGGGCCCACTGTGACAGACTATTGCTATGACCACCTACTCCAGAGCAGAAAGATCACCAAAGGGCAGCTAATCCTGCATCTTGCCTTGGAAGGCAGCAAACAGCCTGCTCTCAGAGCTTCGTCTCACCTCCAAAGAAAGAAATCCTAACATCGCTAGTGTGCCACTGTGGCCAGGAAGGCCTGAGCTATTTCTCAGCTGTCTATACTTCACTGGGATTTTTGGCACGATTCAAGAGGCTATTTTAAAAAGAAATGTATAAGCATGTAAATGCAGCTCACAGACACTCCTACCCCTGTTTTTGAGACAGGGTTTGCTGTGTAACCCCGGCTGGCTTGGAACTCACTGTGTAGGGCAGGGTGGCTTCAAACTTTTAGGACTTCTCCTGCCTCTGACTCCCACGTTCTGGGATTACACATATGAGCCACTATACCTTATTATAAATTATACTCTTTTAAAATTACATTTGTTTGTTTTGTGTGTGTGTGTGTTAGAGCACACGCATCGCCGTACATATGTGGTGGTCAGAGCACAATTTATAGAGATCAGTTCTTTCCTTCTACCATGTAGTTCCCAGGGTCAATCACAGGGCAACAGTTAGGAGTGCCATGCCTGTCTTGAAATAAGTCGTTTAGAAATGATTTCTTTTTTATTTTCTGTTTGCGGGTGTTTTTGCTTGCATGCATATCTGTGCACCACTCTCCGAGGCCAGAAGAGGGCACTGGGTTCCCTGGAGCTGGAGTTAGAGATGTAGATGCTGGAAGATGAACCCTAGCCTTCTGTAAGAGCAGAAAGTGCTCTTAAATTGCTGAACCATCTCTATAGACCCTTGAAATAACTCTTCTTTGCTTGTTTGTTTTGTTGTTTTGAGACAGGGCCTCTCTATGTAACAGTCTTTGTAGACCAGGCAGACCTTGAACTCACAGAGGCCTTCCTGCTTCTGCCTTCTGAGTGGTGGGGTTAAAGGCGTGTACCACCACATCTGGCAAAGGTATAAGTTTAATTTGACTTTCTGTATCTGTTTTGTTCTTATAAAATCAAGGTTTTTTTTATTTTGTTTGTTTGTTTTTGGTTTTTCCAGACAGGGTTCCTCTGTGGCCTTTGGAACCTGTCCTGGAACTAGCTCTGTAGACCAGGCTGGCCTTGAACTCACAGAGATCCACCTGCCTCTGCCTCCCGAGTGCTGGGATTAAAGGCGTTCACCACCACTGCCCGGCTAAATCAAGGTTTTTTGTTTTGTTTTTTAATGTTTCTCTTTTAGTAATCTATTATTATTATTTTTTAATGTACATGTATTGGTGTTTTTCCTGAATGTGTGTCTGTGTGAGGCTGTCAGATCTTGGAGTTATAGACAGTTGTGAGCTGCCATGTGGATGCTGAGAGAATTGAACTCAGGTCCATCTGGAAGAGCAGTCAGTGCCCTTAACCACTGAGCCATCTCTCCAGCCCCCTAAAATCAAGGTTTTAAAAAGTGAAAATCAAACTGCTACCTCCCTAAGTATATATGTGCGCATGTGTGTGTGCGAGCTCGTACACACTCAGGTGGTATTGTTTCTGGCAGTAGACCCATAGTAGGCACTCACTAAATATGAATCCCATGTGGCTCATCAGAAACAGCTGTGTGAGTCCAGCAGCAGCAATGTGAACACACACAGTCAGAAATGCTTAGTCCTTGTCAGGGTACTGTCTGTTAGCTACAGAGCACCCGAGATAACAGGCTCCTTACAGAGTTTTTACAAAG